AAATATTGTATTGATCCCTCTGTCTTCTCAGGATTTCTGAGCATGCCCTGACAAATTCAATTACTAGAATTTATAGGAGAGATTTGAGGTGAGGATGAAAGAAAAATGTGTCGTTGATTACACAGAATACTTTCTAGTGCCTGTACAAAAACTAAATCCCAAAAGTATAGATGCTCTTCCTGGTCAGAAATGTTCATGCAACTATTCGCCTTTGATAAAGATGTCTATATTCTTGTAATGAAAGGCGTGATGATCTGTATCCATAATATTGAGATCCACACTATTTACTCCCCATGAGAAAGTCATAAGCAAAACAATATTTCAGTACATAAATTTTGCTTTTGGAATTATCAAAAATACATATATGGCTAAGTGTTGGTAACAATTACTTTCCCAAAGGAAAATAACCCCTCTTTACTGACCATGAAATTATTTTAGTATTGAATTCAGATCTAATATCCATTTCCCATCTTTTTTTTTCCAAAATAGAATAGAATAGTCAAGGCAGCAGACATCAGCAATGCAGGGTATAAAGTATTCAGTTCAGGCTTCCGGGTAAGACAGCAGATTGAGCAAAGCATTTACTTCTCTCCCTTGAGCACCCTGCTGAAATGACAGTAAATGAGTTTGTCCACAAGGACAAAGAGAGCAGGAAGGGCTAAAATATTGGAAGCCAGAAAGTGGAAGGACTCCTGGTGACTGACTTCGTGGACCCAGGAATGGTATGTTCCAAGCTGGTGGAAGGGAAGGCCAAGACGCCACCATGTTGACACAGCAGGACCTCCAGAAGTCTTGGGACTTGGCTACACAGGGTAGCCCCAGAAAAGGAGGGGGGTTAACCACAGAAGTACGGGGTGGAAGGTGTCTGAAGAAGCAGTGAGACCCTCAGATCTCTTCCTGACTCTACACTGGTGGGCAGCTCCTCTCCCTGCTCTGTGATTAGGCAGAGGCTTCTTCTCCGGAGAGGCTGAAATGAAGGGCGTCTGGGCTGGGAGACACCAGGCATAAGTGGAGGGAGCATCCTGCTAAAACGCAGGCATGCTGACCTCAAGGACCACCCACCCCCGGCCTGGGGTGCAGGTAATCCCGCTGGAGGCAGGAAGATTCTTCCCTTGGGAACCTGTGCCTCCCAAGAGGAGAGTCCCCAAAAGACCCAGACAGCAGGGGTTCCCTGAGAAAGGCCCACCAACCATCAGTGAGGACTGGAGTAGCAAGTTACACCCGGAGGCTCACTTTCCAATCAGCTTTTTCATTTTCAACCAGTTTCCACTTTTCAGTATAAGCCAACAACCAACCCAAGATCATAGATATCTGAGGGGAACCTGAACTTGAAAGACAAAATAAAAACAAAGAGAAAAAAACGACTTTAAGAAAACAGACTATAGCTTTGTTATAGCTTTGTAAGGGGAAGTTTAAAGAAAACTCTAGTTAATACCCTACTTATAAAAATAACTAACATTGATAGCTTCGAAAAGATAAGAGAACATAATTCATTGATATAGCAAGAACATTATGCTAAAATTGAAGACATATTCAAAGAACAAAAAAGATTACTTGGAAATTATGCCAGTGGCATAAGATGATTTTCATAGAAAGGTTGAAAGATAAAGTTGAGAATATCACCCAGAAAATAGAGCAAAAGACAAAGATATGGAAAAATAACACAGAAAATCTAGGAAAATTAGAGACCAGCCTAGGTGACTCAATATCCAAACAAAAGAAGTTCTAAGAAAAAAAAAGGAAGGGAGAAAATAGCAGTGAAATCATTGAAGAACATCTGTCAGAACTTAGTGACATGAATTTTAGGTTAAAAGGGTCCATCAAATGTCTAACACGAATGAAAACAGAGCCACAGCCAGCCTGTCGCCATGACATTCCAGAACACTCGGAACAAGAAGCTGCTCCAGGTTCTCAAAGGCTTGCAGAACAGGACGGCTCAGACAAAAACGCTGGGAGGCCAGGACCCAATGGATGGATTCCTTCAAACTTCTGAGGGAAAATGATTATTACCTAGAATTCTATAACCCTCTGTTCTAGTTACCTAGTGTTACATAACAAAGTACTTCCGCCTTTAGTGGCTTATAACAACCACCATTTTTATCCTATCTCCCAATTTGGGGGGTCAGGAATCCTGCCAGAGCTTGGCCGGCCAGTTCTTCGTCTTCACGTGACACTGGCCATGGGATTGGCTACACCCAGGTTCCGCCTCTGCAGTCCCGACCATGGTCACCTGGTGGCTGGACTGGGGAGTCCCAAATATCTGGATGGGGGGGTCACATAGCTGGAGCCTGGGAAGGGGCAACCAGAAGGCTGGGCTTAGTTGGGTCTTTCTCCCCTTCCAAGTAGGGACTATTTACCATAGCTTTAATTTTTGAGCAGTTTTAGGTTTACAGAAAAACTGAGCAGAAAGTACAGAGAGTTCTCTTATGCTCCCTCATCTCCTCCTCCGTTTCCTCTGTGATGAACATCTTCCATTGGTGTGGTGCCTTTGTTATAAATGAAGAGCCAATAGTGACACATTATTCTTAACTGATGTCCATCGTTTACATTGGGGTCACTCTTTGTGTTGAGCATTCTATGGGTTTTAACATATGCATAACGACATACGTCTACCATTTCAGTTCGTACAGATGAGTGTCACTGCCCTAAAAACCCTGTCATGCCCCACCTATTGATTCCTCCTTCTCCCTCGCCCCAAGCCCCGGGAAATCACGGATCTTTTACTGTCTCCATGGGTTTGCTCTTTCCATCATGTCATATAGTTGGAATCACAGAGTGTGTAGCCTTTACAGATTGGCTTCTTTCACTTACCAATATGCATCTACGGCTTCTCCATGTCTTTTCACTGATAGCTCGTTTCCTTTTATTCTGAATAATAGTCCATTGCATGGGTGTACCACACTTTATTTATCCATCCACTTATGAAAAGACATCTTGGTTGCTTCCATTGTACCACCTTTTTACGTGATGTCTCAGTAGGGTAGTCAGGTTTCTTACATGGGGTGTGAGAGCTCTCGGGGACCAAAGCTGACAGGTATCTTAAAAAGCCAGGCCAGAATCGGCATAACGTCACTTCCACCACATCCTTTTCTCCTTGCTAGACTATCAAGAACACAGGGGCTGAGGTCTTAGTTTTTTTCATTTACCAAGGTGACCCAGGTGCAAAGAACATGCCTGGAACATAGTAAGGCTCAATAAACATCACTTTAAAGTAAAGTGAATTTGATTTTTTTGAACTATATGCATGAATAGCTTTGATTTTAACAAAATAAATATGAATTATTCACCTCAAAACTGTACCATAATACAAAATCCCACACTTAAAATATTGCTCAGAGATCTTAGTCTTCTATTTAAAAATGTTATCATAAGTTTTCTCAGAATTCAAAAAGAATAAACTTTCACTGTGTTCCAAGTGTCCAAACCATGCTTAACTTTTTGAAGCACAGAGACAGTTGGCAAATGCTATAATATGAATGAGACTTACATAACACTTAAAAATCAATGGTGATTTATGTAAGGTTATGAGATATGAAGTTATTATAATAAAAGAGATACAATACACTTGAAGAATGATCAAATACTTTTGAGTTTAATTATTACTCATTAGTTTATACCTAGTCTTGTTTCAAAAAAGATTTTAGGAAGCCTATAAAATTATAAAGAACATAACACTAAATTGCATTTAGATTAAATTAAAGCTTGGCAAAAGAAGATAGAGAAATCAAAGATGGGACAAAGAGGAGCCAAGAAAATGACTTAAAATATGTGCAGTTACAGCCTGATACTGGTCACAAATTTGTCTCTAACCTCTGTGTCCATTAGTATTAGATTCAGCTACAAGTAACAGAGAGATTCCACATACGGGTAGTTTAAATAAGAAAACATGTGAGTTTATTTCCCTCAAAAGTGAAAGTTCAGGGATGTGAAACCCAGGTCTGGTATGGGAGCTCAAGTTCACCGGCCCGTGGGGATCCAGAGTCTCTTCACCTCACCCCCTGCCTTCCCAGTGTAGAGCTTATCCCCACAGTCTAAATTCTTTTCTGTGAAGTAGGATGGATAAACAAGACAAAGACAGAGAAAAGAGACCTGCCAATCGTGTCTTAAGAAACATTCCCAGAAACTGCTGCTGAATAATTCCACTGCCATCACATTGCCCAGAATTTAGAGAAGAAGCTGCTCCTAGCTGCAAGGGATGCTGGGAAAGCAGTCATCATTATGGGTAGACATATGCCCTACTAAAACTTCTATTAAAATGGACCAAGGGGAAACATGGCTCTGAAGAACAAGAGTATCTGCCACAGCTTCACAGCAACTGAGAGAAGAAAGGGAACATGGTCATTTTCAAAATGCAGAGGTGGTAAAGTTGACCTATGTAAGTTCAAGAGACTTACAGCAGCTTTTGTTAAAAAGGTTAAAAAGGGATGACTCAGGAGGTCTGCATGAAAAGAAAAAGTATGTCCCTGGCCATTGAGGCTAATTGGTTAGAGTGTCATTCAGCAAACCAAAACGTCACAGGTTCAATTCCCAGTCAGATCACATACCCGGGTTGTTGGGTCAGTCCCCGGGTGGGGTACATGCGTCAAGAGGCAACAGATCCATGTTTTTCTTTCACATTGATGTTTCTTTCTCTCTCCCTCTCCCTTCCTTCTCCTGTCTCTAAAATAAGTAAGCTGATCCTCAGTTGAGGATTAAAAGGAAGGGAGGGAGGGAAGGAGAACAGGAGAAAGGAAGGGAGGGAGAAGGGAAATGATGTATATTTCCACACCACATCCGTGCAACCAGTTTATAGGACTGTTTCTTGTAACAACTCACATAGTGACAGTTTAGAGAAAACACGCCTGCAGAGATTTGATTTTCTGAGTTCATTTTCACCACATTTGTAAAAGTCACAATAAAAACATGTTTAAATAATATAACACATGAGTTTTATTATGTTTGTTTGAACTTCATCATGTGAATGTCCCAACATTAAGTATACACATATATATTTGTTTCAGAATCAAAGAAAACTCTCTCTACCTTCATTTATGGAAAAGAAACCGCTGCAACCACAGGGACTACCAGAATCTTTCAAAAAATGGTATGTAGCCTTCCACTTAAGCCTTCACCTATGTGCCTTGAATGACTGACTTTGTTTCCTAAGTACCACAAAAGCTGAGGATTAGATATCAAGGACCACGGGATAAAACAAACAGCCTCCCTTCTTGGTAGAAGGGCCCTGGGTTTAGAGCCTTTTCCCCACAGCAAAAAAGAATGAGAACAAGGAGCAGCCAAAACACAGGTGAAGGGGCAGGTCAGTCATCCAGCAACGGCCTAGAAAGGTCAAAGTGCAGGGCATTTGATCTAAGGGTCAGGAGGCAAGACCTAAGGGAGCATCAGTACAACAAGAACTAAGCAAAATCAAGGTCATTGCAAACACTCTACCCTTCCCTCTGGTGCCAAGTCTCCCACATTTCAACTGGGGTGGGAGTTCAAAGAAAAAATAGCTTAGTGTTTGTGGCACACATCCCCAAAGCCATTAAGGAAAGGAAGGTGTCTTCAGAACGATGTGGAAACTTGCAGGTCTCCGTTGGCTTCCCACGTTTCCCAGGACACCTGTGTCTTCCGGGCTCCCTTCTCACCTGCATGGCTCTCGCCTCCCACCTTGGACCCACGTTCAGTCCCTTGCTGCAAGCCACGGTGAATCTCCTTGTTGATAGACCAAGGCCTGGCTAGTGCCTAACAAACTGCCAGGTAATGTCTTGTGACCCCATAATGCAGAGATGGTAGAGCCCTAGTGCCAGGGGAGGATCTCACTAACCAGCCTTGGTGCTCTCATTGGCTACACCCAGATTCCGCCTCTGCAGTTCTCAGCACAACTGACGGTCGTCATCCACAGAGCAGACCTGGCACATCAGGTGAAACTTATTTGCCATCCCTGTGCCTTCTCCGATTAACAGTGTTAAGGAATTTTTCAAACAGTACAACTTTTAACTAAATATATAACCTACAAGTAATTTCTCATTATATTCCACCCAGAATAAATGTTCTCTTCGAGGAAGCACATGGTATTTTTACTAATGAAATAATAGTTGATACACAATGTTCTCTTACCAAGTGCTAAGAACACTTTATGTATAATATTTCAGGTAATCCTTTCAACAAACAGTAAGGCAAGTATTATTATATTTCTTCAGTTCAAGAACACCGCTGACTGTAATAGCCTGGGGAGTGCTGAGGGAGAAAAAATTAAAAGGCACGCATTGATTGCAGTACTCAACCTGGTATTAAATTTTTTTAAATATATTTCTCGGAACTAGGAATTATAATGATCTCCCTACTGTTACCATTGAGAAAACAGAGGCTTGGAGAGACCGGGAATGCAGAGATAGTAAAGACGTGAGAGCTGGACTCTGTATCCAGGTTGTCTCACTCCGCTCAGACACCAGCAACAATAACACAGTCACGGGTCGACAGTGCGAGACAGTCCACAGAGAGAGATCGGCCTCGCCTCTCTGCCCGTGGACACAACCAACAACCAGTCTCCTGAAACGGTGTCATCGAACCTGGCTGGGACTCATCACAGACACAGAGTGACTACCGGCCCCTTGTTGCATTTTCTGTTTTCCTTTAATGAGATATTTAAACAGTCCCAAAGCTGTCAAAAGCTCCCTGTCCAGCTAGGCTGTAAAATACAGACAGCAAAAGCACCTGCATGGAATACTATGCGGCTCTACAAAATGACGGTTAAAAGGTCATCTGTTTTTGTTTAGAAAGGCCAAACCCTGCCAAAAGCAACACCAGGATGTAAAATGGGATAATATACTTGATTTCTACTACATGTTTGAAAATAAAAGAGCAAAACAGCAGTATATAAGACGGGTAGAAAATATACCACAATCATTATGTTTGACAAATTATGAGTGATTGTGCTTTTTTAACTTGTCTTTTTCCCAAGGATTTTATTTTTATATAGAAATAACCTTTTAAAGGTCCCTAGCAAGAAGCCAAGTCTAGGAAGGGTCAAGAGCCTGCCCAAGGTCCCATTTCGGGTTAGGGCTGAAAATGAGCAATAGGGTCCCGCCCAAAATGCAGGTCCCGTGCGCACTGGATGCCACACCCAGACATGTCAACGCAACACCGCTTGCTACCCACAATGGATACAGTGATCTTTTGTTAAATCCAAAGACCATCCGAGGCGCTGCAAAGAGCACTCGGTACAACCTGGAGCGGCACAGCCGTCCTTCGACACTCAGATGGTGGAGGTGAAATGGGGGAAAGGAGATGGTTGGAGCTCCCAGCCCTGAAAACACACACACGTCACGATGAGATCGAAACCGGGGGCTTCCGTCAGACGTCTGTCTGCGGAACAGATGCCGGAGGTCAGGAGAGATGCTTTCCTTTCTGCCTTTAAATTTGCAGTCCCTCAAAGTGCAGAGAATGTAGACTTTGTCTGGTATAACTTCTTTGAGGTGATGCTGGACTATTTTTGTTCGAGGACTTATTTCTTAAGTTACTCCTAGTTATTCATTATTTAATGATCTGGTTTTATTCTCCAGCTGCTCTTCCTAGAGCTGTGGCTTCTCCTCTCTATTTTCTTTTGATATCATGCAGCATGTAACCTGACTACCTGCACCAAGCAATTTCGATTACTCCTCAAGGTTTTTATTAGATATAGGAAAAGCCAGCCTTCTACATTCAGCATATTTATGCCTATAATTATTTTTCAGAACCAGCAAAAAAGAGGAGAGAGGGAAGGAAGAGTAGAATGGAATATTAAAGCATTTCTTAAAAACTGTATAGTCAGAATTAAAGAAACAGCTCTTGATTCTTGCCTTGAGGTTTAGGCACGAGATCTCAGAAATGTCTATAGATAGCTCTACCACGAACCACTGCCAGTGATTATAAAACATTTTAATATGTAAATATTGAAGTGACCTTTAATTTGGGCACCAATTCCCTGGCATGGGCCCTAGGCCCAGCAAGGCCCTGCTCAGTATTTACTATCAGCAGGGGAGCGCTTCTTACAGCTTCCAAAGCACCAAAGTGGTGGGGGGGGGGATAGGCAGCCAGGTGGTTCAGGGGGAGGGGCAAAACCAGCCCCTCACAGAACAGCCAAGGGAGGCCCAGAAACTAGAGACCAGAGGTCCTTCTCCCTGTCCTGTAGATTCATAAAACCTTCTCCTTCCCCAAAAGTATAAATAACAGCCTGGTTTTGAGTTTGGGCCTTGGGATTGGTGTGTGACTTGGACAAATCGTTCAATTTCTCTGGCCTGTTTCTGCATCTATCAACCGGAGATCATGGTTCGATGAGCACGGTTGCCAAAGGTGACCCCAGCATCTCATTCTGGGTTGCCTAGGCAACACACCAGCCCCCAGGGGCCCTCTTCACTCATCCTGATCGGGGAGAGGCTGCCCCCCAAATGCAGTGGGGTGGCAGGGTTCGGGGGACAGACCCAGCCTTGCTAGCTTGCCCTACCCTCAACAGAGCCAGTTCCTCCGACTACGTCACGACATGGTGGAACTCACCACAAGGCCCAGATGGGCCCCCTTGGCACAGCGGGGATACTGACAGTCCCTCCCTGAACTGTAGGGGGCTGTCACGAGGGCAAAGGGGGAGAACACGGTGCTGCCCAGGTATCACTCTTCATTGCTAGCTCCACCCCCACCTGTCCTCCTAGTCACTCAGCACTTCTTAAAATCAGTACTTTTTCGATGGAAATAGTTTTTAAAAACAAGTAGACTTGAACACAATAAATTGAAAAGGCACAGGCCTGTGATAGGAAGGCCTGAGGTTCCCAGAGTTGGAGGGCAGAGAGAGGGGCGGCCAGGGCCGGGCAGAGTGGCAGGCGGGCAGGTAAGGGCAGGGGAAGGAGCTGCCCAATGCGGAGAACGTGCAGAAAGACGGGGCTCCCTCTGGGGCGACAAGCTGGGCGAGGCGGGGTGGGCCGCGACAGACGCAGGTGGCTGGCAGGTCTGAGGCTGACAGAGGGGAGCCAGGGCAAGGGGCCCCCTGGGGAGTGGGCGACCGGGACAGCCCTGTGTGAGGCTGAAGGAAGAAGACAAGAACAGGATTATGGCCTGGCAAACGTGGACCCCGAACCCAGCCCCTCACCCCTGCTGCGAGTTCCACTCTTGGGGACCTCCGCACAGGGCCTTGGGGCTGCAGGCTCTGCCATGCGTATGAGCTTCCTGCAGCCCCTCTGGCCTGGCCTAGCCCTTCCCCGCGGCCCGTCCCCCTCATCAGCACCCAGCAGAGGCCCCAGCCCTCTGCCCCCCTCTCCCATTGCACTTCCCTGGGCTGGTAGCTGAGCTACCTATTGTAGGCGTGGCTCCCGTGGCTCCAGGTCTCACATTGAGCCATGTGGGAGCCATATTTGTCTTCCCAGCAGGGAGCCCGGCGTCTGCTGCACGTAGTAGGGGCTTCTCAACCCAACACACTCTTTTTGTTTTCAATCTAAATGACTCTCGGGAGTTACATTTAACCTTTGAAGAGAAGAAAAGCACACACAATAATCCTTTGCCAACCTGGGTGTCTCCGTGTTAGGTAAAAGCCACTATTAGCAAGATTACACTTCATTTAAAATAAAGGGTAGGAGAAAAACAAATGTTAAAGTGGTTTCCAGTATGTATTTATAAATAGAGAAAAACTTGCAAGGCATTTACTTCCAAACTAAACAAGATTTGGCCGCTTTAAAAAAACAAGCAACCCCCAGCCCCCGAATGACAGGCCTGTGCTGGGGCCTGGGGGGCTGGGGTGGGGGCGGCGCTCTGATGGGCGCGTGGGCTGCACCTGGGTCTCTGCGCGTCCCAAGCAGGACCTCAGAAGCTTGGAACAGAAGGTCTGTCTTGTTCAGGGGCAGCCTTTCCTCATTTTGTTTTTGCCAAGTTTAGCAAAACCGTGGTGCAAACACACCTGTTTGGGGTTGTTCTGTTTTCAGCAAGTCAAAGGTGCTGCCGGGCACGGTCTTTCTGGGGCCCTATCTTCCATCCATACCCTGCGAAGATGCCCCTCTCTGTGCACCTGCATGCTCACCCACTTCCTGGGAGAGCGGGGAGGAGGGGGCTAACCGGAAGTGCATAGATACGAAGAACGGAGAG